TCCAAGGCCTCAGGGCTGGACGCGCCCTCGGGGCCGCACTGTGATCATCGGGCCCCGCGGACCGACGCCGTGTGACGTCAGAGCGGCGTCCGCGAGCTCGTGGTGCCCTCCGCTCAGCCCACGGCGAGGGCGTGGCCAGAATCCCGACGCTCGAGTCGTGGGAGTCGTGCTGCCGAATGCCAAGGGGAAGAAGCGGAGGGCGAAAAAGCAAGGAGGGTAGAGGAGGGGGCGACAAGTGGGCAAGAAGTAGAGGAGGGTGAGGAGGGCGAGGAAGAATCTTCTAAGAAGACCGCTTTTGCATCGTGAGCTTCGAATTCAGAGGCTGCGGCATGTACAATGTCGATAGTTGTCGAATGGGATCACGTCTTCAGGCACCCTTGATACTGAGCGCTCGTCCTCCATTTGGAGTATGGGCCCTGAGCCCGAAAGCTCGGAATCCGTCGTGAAAGTCCGAGACCCTTGCTGGCGCCTCGTATACCCGGCCGCACAACAGGAGCTGGGTTGCCTCATAAACCTGCCGCGCAGCAAGGGCACCAGCCGCTCGGAAAAGGCGGGAAGAAACACAAAGAAGGCGTCTTAATTAGATTGGGCTCCGGTTCGCCCCAGATAGAGGAAAAGAAAGATGGCGTGTGTCGAAACAGGAAGGCGCGCAAATAAGATTGAATTCACATGTGTATATGCATATATATATACATATGCATATATACATATATTGTAATATATATAAGATAGATTTATAGATCTATAGATCTATCTTATATATACACACGTATCCGCCGATCCCACGTGTGAACTACAAGGAGCCTCAGCAAGAGCTTCAGCTCTGAGCCTAAGCAAGAGTTTCAGCTCTGCTTGGGGGGGGGGCGCTGGGGTGGCTCTGCCGGGGAAGGGGGGAGGGGTCCTCCATCTGGTGTTTCCTTCATGATTTGCGCATCCGGAACCCCCCAAGGGAAGGAGGGGAAGGGGGGGGCGGTCCCCCATCTGGCGTTTTCTTAATGATTTTCGCATCCCCAAGATGTTTCGGGGGGTCCAGGGACCCCCTCAGATCTTGCCGCTACCGCCCCCAGGACCCTCCCCTCGGAACCTTCCCTGGACCCCCCCCGGGACCGCTCCAGGCACCCCCCCAGAGGAGAAGAAACAGGACCGGAAGAATCGCGAGAGGAGGCCACAGAGCCGCGAAGATCACCGAATCCGGAGCCCCCCGGATCGGCGGCACTGGCTGGAGGCCATTACAATATATGTACATATTTCTTCTTAGTTCTATCTCCAAAAAAATGAGGGGATATCATGTGCCCCAATCGCATCGAGCAGCGGCAACACTGCGGGACCAGCGGGACGGCTGCGCCGAGGCCGACAGCATTCGAGGCGCCCCACTGCTCGTGCTCCTCAGAAACATGGACGATATTAATGTATGTATTTATCATACACACATAAGATACAAGCATGTATGTGAGGTTCTCGCTTGTTGCCGCCATCGAGGTTTTGTTGTGGAGTGTTCCTGGGTTGCCCGGCCTGTGCCGGGGGGCGTTGCTGTGGTAAGAACTGGTGCCGCCGCAGGGTCTCGAGAGTCGAGATATTCTCAAAATGCTAAGGTGGTCCAGCCCGTTTCGCTTGAGACATCCTCACGCCTGAGACCTCTTCGCAACTCTGGGCTCCCAGACGCTGCGCCAGAGGTTGCCTGGACCAGTTCTTCTGAAACATCCTCGCTTCTCTGGGCTCAGAGATGCCGTTACCTGAGGTTTTCCTATCATTTCGCCTGAGACAGCCTCGCATTTCTTGGCTTGGAGATGTCGCGCACGAGGCGATCCGATGCCGCGCAGAATGCGATCCAGTCACTCTCGCTTGTGACGACATCCCCGCAACTGGGCACAGAGATGTCGCGTGCGAGGAGGTCTGGCCAAGTTCGAATGAGGCTTCCTAGCAACTCCGAGCAGCCGCCGAGGAGTACGAGGAGGAGGAGGAGGAGGAGGAGGAGGTGGAGCAGGTGGAGAGGAGGAGGAAGGCAGGAGAGTGCTCGTAGTGGAGTCCGACAACTACCTGTGTTTTCGCTGCTCTCGGGGCGCTCCTCGTCACCAGGGCTGTGGCTCAGAGGGTGGCGGGGCGACCCCAGGTGCTGGGGTCGCCCAGTGGGCAGGGGCTGCCACTCTCAAGGCATCAGCCCCAACGGCGGTGCTGGGGAGGTGCCAGGGAGGGGCTGCCACAAGACAGCTCGGTGCAACCCATGGACCACGGAGGCTTCTCCAGCGGGGCCGCGCTGCGAAGCATGTGCGTCAAGATGTTGTTGAAAACTCGGAGAGCCCACGAAACCGCTAAGGAATTTAAATACATGTTAGCAAGCGTGGAACCCCAAACAGCGTGCTTCTGGCATTATATGTTGTGCAATATGTGTTGTGCTATTTGAGTGGTGTAATATATGTGGCGCACTATACTTGGTGTAGTTTTTGTTGTGCACTCCAGGTGGTGCAAGACATGGTGTGTAGTCCATGTGGTGCAAGCTATG